GCCCTGTCCTCACCTAGGAGAGATGAGGTGCTGTCTCCTCTGGTCTACACTCTCTTGACTTGGGGGGTGGTGTGCTTCCCTTCTCCTCTGGACAGGCACCACTGCCCCTAAAGAACTGGAGAGAGTTGGAGCAAATGGTGAGGATCGTGGTGCCTTCTGAGCTCCTTTCATCAGAGGGAGGTGGAGAGAACCTACCCACTGGTCCTCGGGGAACCCACGTGCTCATAAACTCAAGTCTCCCGTAGGCAGAAAAACAAAAGGGACTCAAGGCGGTCTTCCTGGCTGCTCTTTTTCATCAAAGTAGCCTCAGGGACTTTTCCTGCTGGCGTGTTCTGAGCTTTCTCCCAGACATTCCCAGAGCTTACTTCTGGGAATTGTCAGGTTTCCTTCCCTGTTCATATTCAGATTGTTCTGGAAACCCGTGCCTCAGCTGCCTCCTTCTTCAGAAGTCTTTTCAATGTCAACTCAGCCTCTTCCTTCCTGCTGTGCCTTCTTAGCTCATCCTTTGATACAGTATTGAATACTGCCCTGGGCCAGTCCTCCAGGGCCGTGCACCTGACAGTCTTATTTCTGGGAAACGCTTACGGGAGACCTGGGGTGAATTCACAAAAAATTTAAACTAGTTTTGACATAGATACTTATTCCCTAATATGTCTGGGGACTCCCTGGGTGGTGCAAATGGTTAATGAGCTCAGCTGCTAACTAAAAGGTTGGAGGTTCGAGGCCATGCAGAGTTGCCTAGGAAGAAGGGACTGATCTACTTCCAAAAAATCAGCCATTGAAAACCCTGTGGAGCACAGTTCTGCTTTGATACATGTGGGGTCGCCATGATTTGGAGTTGACAGCAACTGGTATATAATGTGCTGAGAGTGCTTGATTGTTTCCTTCGAGTTCTTCTGGACTTTGAAGGTATCCTTCCAGGCTTTGTCAACAGGGACTTGCCTGGATGTCCTTGCTTAGATCTCTATAGCAGCGGCAATAATGAAGCGGCCGGTAGTATGTACATTTTGGTGGGACGTCTCTCCCAAAGACTGGGGTCTGACTCTTCAGACTGGTGAGGCTTCATTCACAAAAAGTATTTGTAACTACTGC